TTTCGAACCTTTCCAAGGTCACCCGGTTTGCTGCCACCTCTCCTAGCGCTGTGACTTCTCCCTGTTCTATTGTAAATACCTCCTGGAATCTTTTGTTGAGTTGTTCACACACCTCCTTGTCATTCTCTGTGTACCTGTCCTCGCCCACCCCAAGTTTCATCACCTGTTCCTTCACTGTTGTCTTCCTCCTGATGTGACTGTGTAGTTGCTTTGGTTCGGTCTTGGCTTTATTTGCTATATTATTTTCATACCTTTTCCCAGCTGCTCTTCTCACACTAACATACTCGTTCCTGGTTCTCTGGTATCTCTCTCTACTTTCTGGTGTTCTGTTATTATGGAGGTTCCTCCATGCCCTTTTGTTCAGCTCCTTTGCTTTCATACATTCCCTATTAAACCATGGAGTCTTCCTTTGCTTCTCTGTTTTTTCCTGTTGGGCTGGGACAAACCTGCTAACAGCCTCCTAACATTTTTGGGTGACATAGTCCATCATGTCTTGTACGGACTTGGTTCTGAGTTCTGTGTCCCAATGTATATCCCATAGGAATTTAATCATCTCATAGTTTCCCTTTTGGTACGCCAGCCCTTTGTTTTCCAGTTCTTTTTTGGAGGTGATAATTCCTACCTCAACCAGGTACTCAAAGCTCAATACACTATGATCACTCATTCCCAAGGGGGCTTCCAACTTAACTTCCCTTATATCCGACTCATTTAGGGTAAATATCAGATCAAGCAAGGCTGGTTCATCCCCTCCTCTCATTCTTGTCGGTCCCTTGACGTGATGACTTAGAAAGTTTTGTTGTTACGTCAAGCAGCTTAGCTCTCCATGTGTCTGGGCCTCCATGTGGGTCTCTGTTCTCCCAATCTATCTTCTCATGGTTGAAGTCTTCCATGATTAGTAGTCTGGATCCATTCCTGCTAGCTACAGAAGCTGCTCTCTCTCTATTATATTGATGGTGGCCAAGTTGTTTCTATCATATTCCTGTCTGGGTCTTCTGTCATTCGGTGGGGGGTTATATATGACTACTACTATAATTTTCTGTCTTCCAGTTGCTATTGTGCCTGATATGTAGTCACTGAAACCTTCACAGTTCTGAATTACCATCTCTTCGAAACTCCAACCTTCTCTTAGTATCAAAGCTACACCACTTCCTCCTCTCCCTTCTCTCTCTTTCCTCACTACATAGTAGCCCTGTGGAAACACTGCATTGTGTTATAGTTTCCGTTAGCTTTGTTTCTGTGAGTGCTATTATGTCTGGGTTTTCTTCTAGTGCCCATTCTCCATGTTCCCTTGTTTTATTTGTAATCCCATCTATGTTAGTGTACATTGCCTTGAAACTCACTTTCTTCTGTTCATTTTCTTGTCCCTTTCTTGGCGAGCATTCTGCTGGTGTGGAAAGCTGTTCCGTGGGTGAGAAGATCTGTGAGGTAGTTTGCAGGGTCTCAGAGAATTTTGGGGTGGGGGTGGGGGTAAGGGGGGGTGGGGAGTTTAAGGGAAGGGGGGACAGGTAGGGTGTGGGTTAAGGAGATAGGGGGGACATGGAGGATACGGGGTGAGGGGGGAGGAGGGATAGGGAGGGTATGGAATGAAGGGGGAGGGGAGACAAGGGGGGGGGGAAGGTGGGAGGGGGACATGATATGAATGAGGAAGGGGTGACAGGTTCAGAATTGGGTGGGGGGGGGAGGGAGGGTTGGGGGGGGGGCAGGTAGGGTAAGGGGAAGGGAGGGTTTCTATGCAGAGGGGCGGTGGTGGTGTTGCCCTCCCCTCTCGTGTTGCTGGGATGCTGGTTTTGGGTTCCCCTCTTGTCTCTAGGACTGTTGTGTTGGAGGCTGTGATTTCCTGGTTTGCACCGCTCTCTCTGCACTTCCTCCTTGCCTCTGCTGCCCTGGCTCTCTCCTCCTTCGTCCTGTCCCTCTGCAGGAATACTTTTTTGTATCCCTCCACATGCTGCAGACGACTCTTCCTTTCGAGAATATCCTCCTTCGTGGTTTCGTTTGTAAACACCACCTTTACAAGTCGGTTTCTATTCTTGTTCTACCAGCCCAACCTGACAACCTTCTCAATGTTTTATTCAGCCCCTTCCATCTGTAACCCCTTCAGTAGCCCATGTACAGCCTCTCTATCCTTGCTATCCCATTCTTGCCTGTTGGACCCTTCCTGTTCTTTGATGCCTACAACTACCACTGATCTTTTTCTCTCCAGCAGCTGAGTTGTGCACCTTGGCTACCTCCCTCACTGTGTCCATTGCTTCTGAGCTCTTGTGTGTGTGTGTGTGTGTGTGTGTGTGTGTGTACTCACCTAGTTGTACTCACCTAGTTGTGCTTGTGGGGGTTGAGCTCTGGCTCTTTGGTCCTGCCTCTCAACAGTCAATCAACAGGTGTACAGGTTCCTGAGCCTATTGGACTCTATCATATCTACACTTGAAACTGTGTATGGAGTCAGCCTCCACCACATTACTTCCTAATGCATTCCATTTGTCAACCACTCCGACACTAAAAAAGTTTTTTCTAATATCTCTGTTGCTCATTTGGGCACTCAGTTTCCACCTGTGTCCGCTAGTGCATATGCCCCTTGTGTTAAATAGCCTGTCTTTATCAACCCTGTTGATTCCCTTGAGAATCTTGAATGTGGTGATCATGTCCCCCTAACTCTTCTGTCTTTCAACGAAGTGAGGTTTAATTCCCGTAGTCTCTCCTCGTAGCTCATACCTCTTAGCTCGGGTACTAGTCTGGTGGCAAACCTTTGAACCTTTTCCTGTTTAGTCTTATGCTTGACTAGATATGGACTCCATGCTGGAGCCGCATACTCCAGGATTGGTTTGACATATGTGGTATATAATGTTCTGAAAGATTCCTTACACAAGTTTCTAAAGGCCGTTCTTATGTTAGCCAACCTGGCATATGCTGCTGATGTTATCCTCTTGATATGAGCTTCAGGGGACAGGTGTGGCGTGATATCAACCCCCAGGTCTTTCTCTCTCTTTCTGACTCTTGAAGTATTTCATCTCCCAAGTGATACCTCGTATCTGGTCTCCTGCTTCCTATCCCTATCTTCATTACATTACATTTGCTTGGGTTAAACTCTAACAGCCATTCGTTCGACAATTTCTGCAGCTTGTCCAGGTCTTCTTGAAGCCTCAAGCTGTCCTCCTCTGTCTTAATCCTTCTCATAATTTTGGCGTCGTCAGCAAACATTGAGAGGAATGAGTCTAACTACCCTCTCGGAGATCATTTACGTATATCAGAAACAGGATAGGTCCAAGCACAGAGCCCTGTGGGACTCCTCTTGTGACTTCACGCCATTCTGAGGTCTCACCCCTCACTATAACTCTCTGCTTCCTGTTGCTTAGGTACTCCCTTATCCACTGGAGCGCCTTACCAGTTACTCCTGCCTGTTTCTCCAGCTTATGCATCAACCTTTTATGGGGTACTGTGTCAAAGGCTTTCCGACAGTCCAAAAAAATGCAGTCCGCCCATCCTTCTCTTTCTTGCTTAATCTTCGTCACCTGATCCTAGAATTCTATCAAGCCTGTAAGGCAAGATTTACCCTCCCTGAACCCATGTTGATGGGTTGTCACGAAGTCTCTTCTCTCCAGATGTGTTACTAGGTTTTTTCTTACAATCTTCTCCATCATCTTGCATGGTATACAAGTTAAGGACACTGGCCTGTAGTTCAGTGCCTCTTGTCTGTCACCTTTTTTAAATATTGGTACTACATTAGCAGTCTTCCATATTTCTGGTAGGTCTCCCGTTTCCAGTGACCTACTATACACTATGGAGAGTGGCAAGCAAAGTGCTCCTGCACACTCTTTCAATACCAATAGTGAGATTCCATCCGGCTCAACAGCTTTTCTCACATCCAACTCCAATATGTGCTTCTTGACCTCATCTCTTGTAATTTCGAACCTTTCCAAGGTCACCTGGTTTGCTGCCACCTCTCCTAGCGCCGTGACTTCTCCCTGTTCTATTGTAAATACCTCCTGGAACCTTTTGTTGAGTTCTTCCCACACCTCTTTGTCATTCTCTGTGTACCTGTCCTCGCCCATACTAAGTTTCATCACCTGTTCCTTCACTGTTGTCTTCCTCGTGATGTGACTGTGTAGTAGATTTGGTTCGGTCTTGGCTTTATTAGCTATATCATTTCATACCTTTTCTCAGCTGCTCTTCTCACACTAAAATACTCGTTCCTGGTTCTCTGGTATCTCTCTCTACTTTCTGGTGTTCTCATATTACGGAAGTTCCTCCATGCCCTTTTCTTCAGCTCCTTTCCTTTCATACATTCCCTATTAAACCACGGATTCTTCCTTTGCTTCTCGGTTTTTTTCCTGTTGGGCTGGGAAAAACCTGCTAACAGCCTCCTAACATTTTTGGGTGACATAGTCCATCATGTCTTGTACGGACTTGGTTCCGAGTTCTGTGTCCCAATGTATATCCCATAGGAATTTATTCATCTCCTCATAGTTTCCTTTTCGGTACGCCAGCCCTTTGTTTCCCAGTTCTTTTTTGGGGGTGATAATTCCTAGCTCAACCAGGTACTCAAAGCTCAATACACTATGATCACTCATTCCCAAAGGGGTGCTATAGCTTGAGTGCCAGTGGGTGTCCATGTGTGTGTGTGTTTATATACTATTTGTGCCTGCAGGTTTGAGCTGTTAGTTCTTGCGCTCCGCCTTTCTAACCGTCTGTTGTAAGGTTAGAAAGGTGACATATCTGCTACATATATGTCTCTCTAACACACCCACATATTCCCAAGATGCAGCCATAGCAACTCTCCAACCACAGGTACCTATTTACATCTTTGTGAACAGTTGTATCAGGTGAAAGAAACGTTGTCCATTTGTTTCTACCTCGGCCGGGAATCGAGCTTGGGGACATTAGGACTACGATCCCCGAGCGTTGTCCACACGTTGGTGTGTGCGTGTGCTTGCAGGTGTGTAAACATGTAGACATGTCACTAAACTCTGTAATCCATTCCATATGTGTGGCGTCTCCCTCCACTAAAGGGACGTGTGCGAAAGACCAAGGCGGGTGGTGGTACAGGTCGTGCACTCTTGTTGGTGGCACGGCTGTCCGTGGTAATATGGGGGCCTGGTACTGGACGCCAGGTGTCAGAGGCAGCTTCTGGGAGCCTCTCCAGCAGCTGCAAATGATGATGCGACCCCAGAACTTCACAACTTGTCAGCAGTGATTGTTG